ATATATATACATACATACATACATACATACATATATATACATACATACATACATATATATATATACATACATACATACACATACATATATATACATACATACATACACATACATACATATATATACACACACACGTATAGTCCAAAACGCATTAAAATAGTACGGTTGGTAAAGTCTTAAAAATGGCATATCACACCTTGATGATGTTGGCCATATGCTCTGCTCCTCTCCACGTGAGATTGCATCCTGTAAAATCTACCGTCCTGATGCTCGTAGAATACTTCACACTTTGGCAGATGACTGAAACATATGGAAAATGGAAGGTACATGCTCACACACAGTACAATCCTTTGAAGGCTTTCGGAACCAAAAAAAAGGAACAAACCCTGTGAGCATACATACCCTCTAAGCCCTCATCAGAGATTGGACAGTTAGCCAGAGATAGGTTTTCCAAGACAACACTTTTTGAAAAACCCTGAAATAAAAACAAAACACATTTTTTACACAGAAATATGGAGAGAAAATGCTATTGAGCTTATAATTCTGTGCCCGTCTCTCTAAATAGCTAAACAAATAACAATATCATGGTGTAAACTGTTTACACTGCAGATCATATTCTCAGGTTTTCTTCTTTTTTTTTTTACCTTTGTCAAGGTGATGAGGTCCCTCTCTCTCAGTGGAAGTCCATTGAGCTGCACAGTCTTGAGGTTGGGAGAGGCAGCCAGACACTCTCTCAGGGCCTTGCACAACTTAAATGTCATGTCCTTAGAGCGAATGGCTGGGATCCTCTTCCTGAAGCTAGACTTATAGTACCTTCTATCTGAAATGGGTGGTGATATGATTAATGTTACATATGCAGAATTGGCAAATTATTCCAGTTTAAAGGTTGAACTTTCTAATTCTACTCATCCTGTACTTGTTTCAATAACATGAGTGATATAAAAAACAAAAATTCCCCACTGTTACTTTTGGTATCGGGTTTATTGCCAGGCCTTACCTGTGTCTCCAGAAGCCAGACCAGCTTGGTATGTGCTACTTATTGCAATGTGGTGCAGGTGTTTGTTGATGCAGATGGAGCTGAGAATGGGAGGCCAGTCTGTGAGTTTGACCCTATCGCCATTAAAGTCCAGCATCCCCATGTCAAGGTTCATCTTAACAGCCGGGAGAGGGATCGACTCCTGTCTGGCACAGGCAAAGTCATAGAATGCCATGAAGTCCTGGGCACCCCGCTGCCGAATCTGAGCACTATCTTGAATCATCTTTGACCTAGGGACAGTAATATTATTGAACAATATTATATGAACAATAAGAACAATTCATGGTGCCATGAGATGTCATCTTTGGTACTAATGGGAAAACTGCTTTAAAACATCGACATTTCAGGTACGTATACTGCCACTTTCTGGTCGTATTAGTAAATATTTTGATATCTGTTAACAAAGATGGTGTTCCCATATACAGGTAGGGTAACACACATTGATAGGTGTTACCTAAAATGGTAGAGACAAATAGGGCCAAATATGTTTGATAGCTCTGTTATTATAAACAGATAGTAGTGATAGTCTATAGCTGTGTCTGTAGAGTCTAACGCTACACCTCTCCTGTCACTACCTTTCCTCCATAGCAGACCTCCCTTTAAAGATAACGGGCCACATATTTCAGTGTATCTCCACGTCAACGTTAAACCTCACAGAAATTCATAAGCTGAAATTAGTTTCTCGTATTCATTAGAGACATAGTAGAAATGCACTGTGTAGTAGTCAGCGGTAGCTTAACGAGTGGCGTTAGCAAGCTAGGCTCCTAGCAACCGTTGGTAGTGGAGGAGAGTAGCAGACTCGAGAGCTGCTATCGAGCCCCGTACACGGTCATGTTTTAACTGTTCTTTCATGTATTATCAAACAACATTGACTCCAACTGAAACCAATTATTGTACCTTCCACGTATGACCAAAGGTTGTATCGTCGTGGCTCTGCTCCCTCGGTGGTCCTTGCCACAATTTGACAACTTGTGTTATTGTTGACGCTCAAAAGTGGCGCTTGTTGTGTCAGTGAAGCCCCGCCCACATCTCTTCTTCACTGTGTTTATTGTGAGTTCATCCAGAGCACTGCTGCCACCTACCGCAGACCATAAGAGACTTCCATGATATCAGATGTGTTTGAGTGGAAAGTCTTGTAAAATGATGGTTTGTTTTGTGTGGCAATATCAGAAAAGTGAAAGCAGAAAGAATACTCAAGATGCTGTGTTTAAAACTCATTTAAATGTATTTATGGATGACAAGAAAGTGTACAATAGATTTTATATGCTAAATGAATCCATAATTTATTCCAACAGTACAGGCATTATTTAGAATTAATTTAATGGAGATATATAGTATCCTACGAAAGAAAGAAATATACTTGATAAGTGCTATTAATAAAGCTTTAACCCTGATTATTGGTGAACGCTGACTTATATCACCTTTGATAAGCTTTCAGGATCATATGATAATATGATTCTGTTATTTCTGCACATGCACATTTGCATATATATTTGCACAATGCATAATTAATATTGTAATCTACTGTAGTATATATAGTAGTATATGTGCTTTAATTTCCTTATTTATTATTCAGCTGAATGTATTTTATAATAAACAGTTCTTAGTCTCAGCCTGTTCTTGGGCTGCTGTGACATGTGACTTTTCACCAAAGGGGATCCATAAAGGCGTATCTTAGTTTATGTGTTGTCAAACCAAAAATGGGAAAACGGAAATGGGCGGTCGTATTTCCGTTTTTGGTTTCTGAATTCAAAAACGGAAAAACCACAGAACCAAAGTCAAAAACAAGCCGAATTTTGTTCCTTTTTTGTTTTTTCCTTTAAAATGAGACGCAGAGCACAACATGTAACCCGGAAATAAGAATATTTCAAAATAAAAATGAAGGCAATATAATGACCGTATAGAAATGCTTAACGTTATATAGTCTGTGATGCAAGCACATACCAGGGTAACATTAGAAGAAAACACATTAATGAATATAAATAAATAATCCCGGGCCGATGAGAGTGTGTTAGCAGCAGTAGTAGCGATTTAATTTAACTTATCCATGTACACAGCAAGAATCAACTTTTCTATTAATCGGTGCATTGTTTGATGCAATACAGTTCGTGATATAGTTTAATCAAAGTCATTTTTGTGTTCACATAAATGTTGCTGTTGGCACTGATATTTCTTTGTCCACTGTATTGTGTTGATTTAGTGAACGCAGAGTGTAAGCCGGTAAGGACAGGCAAAGTGTTCACCCGTTCTACCACTAGATGGCAGTATAAGTGTATTTAAACCATAGATTTAGTCATATTTACCTGTGCTTTTGTTAATTATCTAGGTTATTGATACAGATGTATTTAATGCGGATTTCTAACTGGATTTCACTCAATGACCAAACAAACTTTTCGTTTTCCTCCTTTTATTTTGGTAGGGTCAGCATAGTAGTTTGTTCACTAAGCCACTTAGTGTAGCTTCATGTAGTTTAGGTAAAAAACCTTTCAAAAGAAAAGAAAACCCATATTCAATATAAAAATTTATGTAAACAGGCAAAGCATTTGTTATAGTTTGAGTAATAAAGCACCAGTGCCACATTATATAATCTAAACATGCCCTGCTATGTTAATAAAAGTATAATTAGGACACCAAATGTTTTACATTTGAAATAGTTTTGTCCCCAAAAAAAGAATGAAATGATTCAGACTTCAATTTAGTGGATGTCCCACAGTGTCACATTACAGAAGAATCCTGTTGAACTTGATGTTGAATCAGTTTGATTATTGAACTGTAAATATGGATTGAAGAGGTTTAAACTGTGATTAGTTCAGCTGATATTCCAACAGTGCTAACCCTAGACTAACCTCCTATTTCTATTGTGAAGTCTGACGAAGAGCTTTGCTAAAGTTAATTTAAAGTGTCAGGCAGTCAACTTATCCTTTTAAGCGATGAACACAAATATTTGTAATAAACTGTCATTGTAGGCAGACTAAATATTTTTTTCCCCATCAGAATAGAAAGGCTCTTGAGAGACGTTTATGGCAGCGTACTTGATCTCTTCTACACCATCTTTATCAACCTTGAGAGAGGAGGCCTTCTCAATCCCGACAATGAAATGCATCTCTCTGCTCTGCACTGGGAAGAATGGGATTAAACCTACGAGACAATGGTTGAAGACAAATATAAATCACCACATTGTGTCTGAGTGTCACACACTAACAGGACTAGGTACTAGTTTACATCACTCATTCAACTGCTTTTATACTGTAATTCAATATTTTGGCTGGCCAACAAGACAACAAATGCTACACGATTACTAAAGTGTACAGAGTGATATATTGATGTACAGTCTCCCTAGACCAATCCAAACCCAGTGTCAGTGCTACAAATAGCAGCAAGAATGTCTCTTTCAAAGTTACAGTAGTCTTTGTAATGTCCTGGAAGTTTCAGCTCCACCACGTTAATATCCATATCCTATCCACAACTGCACGAGTTTCCCAAGGATGCTTGGAGACGCTTCCAAAAAAGAAGAGTCAATATTTAGATAGATAGATATAAACTTTATTCATCCCCAGGGGGAAATTAGTTTGTAGCAGCAGCAATTTAGAGTAAAATATTACGTATGGAAATGTTTCCATCCTTTTAGGCAGCAATTAGTGTCAGTTCATTTCTATGAAACTCAACTTGCAAGGACTTCAGGACAACCATGTTTGAGCAGTACTTGTTCATGCAGTGATGTGATGTAGGTTTAACTTTAAAAAAAGAGATCAAATGCTGACTGTGATCATTTCAATGCAACACGTTTCAGATCTCACCAGGTTAATGTTTATTGTAATGAAGTGAAACCAATGGCTGCCAGAGGGTAGAAAACACATGTCATTTCTGAGAAAGTAATTTGTGCGAGTGTTTTTGACTTGGCGTCATGGGGTCACTTACCTGTGGTGTGCACTGTACATCAGATAGTCTTGTAAAAAGGAGGGGAATTGTGTCTTTCCTCTCAGTTAGCAAAGGCCAGATCGGTGTCTCTTTTAACCCCCTTCGTAACTGTTTCACTTGTCTTGAGGTTCTTCCAAGGACCTGCAAAACATTTGCATCACAACAGAAAAGCAAAGCAGCCTTACTAATCTTTAACTAATAGTCTAATTAGCATTACTTAATAAACTCATCAACATCCATCTGTGTATGTCACAATAAAGACAAAATGTGAAAGACAAAATGTTGTCCTACATCAGAACTTCAACTCTGATTAGTCGGTCTGGTTTGTATGATCTGTTAAGTACACAGATCAGAATACTCACAGCATGGAGGAGCAGTTTGTCCAGCAGCCATCTTCTGTTGTCAGATGTGACTGCAGGCAAATCCCAGAACAGTGCCAACTCAATAATTAGGTTATTTTCTTCAGATGACATATCTGCTGTCCCCTCCAGCTAATAGTGACAATTCGAATTAGAATAGATTAGAATTCCTGATTTCTCAAGACTTGCATAATATTCAGATTTGATACGACAAATAGGGAGAGGACAACTTGTCAATAACTATCAATCACGTGGTTGACAACACCCACTGGTCTCAAACCACATCCCAAAAAATGTAATTTTGTATCCCTTTTAAACAGCATGTTGGGAACCTGTTAAAACTGTGTTTGCTCTAAAAACACATTTTACATGATGACATCAGTCACTATAATTACATGTGTTAAAGAAATGTACTTACGTTTATGGTTTTAATATTGCTTCAGCACCCCCTGCTGGTTTAAATTAGTATACTATGTGATTGTGGTATTATAAATATCTGCCAAAAATTTCTGACATCAGGTATTACTTTTATTGTCCTTGCCCCGATTTTTTAGCATTAAAATCTTACAGGAAAAATGTATTTTACCACTTTGATTGTCTCACGGATGTCAAGGTCAGCACACTCCTTAATATCTATTATGGCTTCTTCTGGGGATCCACCAAAGAGCACATGCAGGATAGCTGGGCTGAGTCCTCCAAGGCATGGCCCACTATGGAGGACTGAATGACCAATCATTCGGCCAGCAACAACAAAGAAGTCACTCTCCAAAAGGGAATGCCAAGTGGAGGGAATCAGATGATCTTGTTCCCCCTCAAAAAGAAGAGTTCCTCCTGGTACTTCAATTAAAAGAGAAAAGTGAAAGAACATTGATAGTGCAGAATGTAAAGGACATAGATATTCAAACTTTCATACAGAATTAGTAAGGAAATATCAATCAGCCACTGAATACTTTGGGTGACCCTGTAGAAACCTACAGGGCCACAGCAGCTGCGTCACATTTGTTTGTTTTTTAAGGTTTTAGGTATTCTCTGGGTAAGTAGAGACAGATCTGTTGTCAGCCTGGAACTGATGCAAACCAAACACAGAGCCCGATAGCTGACAACCAGCCATCAGCCAAAGTGAATATTCACTTACCAAAATTCATCTCAAAACCATACTGAAGTTTGGACATGATGCTTGTGATGGCGAGTCACGCCATCACCAATTGCTGGATCTCCTGAAACAGCAAAATACACAGTACAGACATCAGTTAAATGAATATATGATCATTTCTTGTCTTTAGTTTTGCGTGTGTAACCAATTTACCCTCGAGTGTGCATGTCAAGGGGCAAGCCCACTCAACATTAGCCCTCTTATAAAAAGAAAGGACTGTCCTCTGCACTGTCTCCAAGATCCATGGTAAGATAGAATGATTTTCCAGTTGCATGCTGTCTTAAAATGTCTTCTTTGAATCTCTTTGCTGCCTCACTGGGATTTGAAAGAATTTTCCAATCTAAAAAGAGTTTTTAAATTATTCCAATTAAAACTGGATGAATTGATATGTAGAGAGCAACAACTTATTGCAATAAATCATGTAACACACCTGGGAAGCCTCTCTCCTCAGTGGGATCTAGGTCAACTATCTCAGGAGCAGCCACATGTCGCTGAGAGGTGGCACACAGTAGTTTGTGCTGCTGGCCCTTGTTGTCTCACTTCCCTGTAGTCTTGTCAACATGCCCACAAATCTACCTTCACTTCGGGAGGCACTTTCTGTTGTCGCCACAATTTCTACCTCACCACTGCTCTGTGATGGTCTTGGGTAAAGAGAAGCACGTTTTGTTATTGGGGCTAGTATATTTTATATTACATTACACATTCACAAAAACACTGCAACTAGAAAAGAACAGTCATATAAATAGAATAGAATAAATCCATTCAAATTCAACTTCCCCTCAAGACCAATATTCAGGATCATCCACATTCAAAATGCTTTACATCTTTTGGCAGACTCCAGAGCCTAATGCTTAATGTCTGATGTACGACTCCTTGAGTGCTTGACAAATGTGACGTTTTAGTTCTGTAGAGCGATGCCTCACGCACTCATCACTGTGAGCCTTGATTCTTGTAAAAGGGAACTCCTCTCCACACGTCACACATTTCTGAGGTGGTCCCAACTAGCTCACTACTGCATTCTGGTTGACATGCCTGTAAACAAGATCATTTCAAAATGTAACACAAGCTATACTTGTGTAAATGTTCATACTCTGCTATTTTCATATGGGAACACCAATTTAAAAGGGAGGATCTTACAGGGGTCCAGATTCAGGTTTCTTTGGAGTGGTCAGATGAAAATTGTAGCGTGACCAATCTGTGTTTGTGGATCTTTGAAATGTCTCACATGGTAACCCTCATTGGGACATGGTATGATGATCAGTTGGCCACCGTGTTGTTCCAGAGATTTTGAGCAACTCAAATCCTCCCCCTTGTCTGAGTTTTTGATATGCCTCTAAAATAAATTCTCTAAAGTCATCTGGATCTGTATGACTACTTGGAAATAGAAGATAATAATCCAAACAACCGATCTAACTTCAAATATAATAACGTTTAATGTTTTTGAAAGGTAATTCAAGAAAAATACGTCTGTCAATCATGATGCCTGACTTACCTTGGAATGTAAGACGTTTTCCCCTAGTCCTGCCGTAGCAAGTCTATCTTTGGCGTGTCGGTTTATCCTCAATACAACAGAAAGAGTGAGTGTACGAATGAAGCTGTGCAGGCGCAGCAACAGTTCACCTTCTTGTCGTCCTTCTCCCTCCAATGTGTGGACCAAACAGTCTTGAAACCTCGGCTAGAATCAAGTGAAGAGGATAAGCTATAATCAGTAGGCTACAAGAACACGTTGCAGAAGAAACATGTTGGCTAACGATATCATCGCACACTTTACAGGAATGTGATCTGACGCACAGCCTGAATAAATAAATCACTCATCACCGGCGCCTGGTCGAAGCCATGAGTGCTGCTAGCTAGTTTTTTGACGTCGTCCACAGGGATGATTTGCTAGGAATCGGTTACTTCTGTCTTGCTCCCATACTCGGGTGAGTGTGAGAGACTGTGAGGGCTTGAGATGGTGTAAATAGGAATGGGACAGCACTTTGCTGCAACATATCACGTTACCATGAAAACGACAAGAAATATGATGTATACTTGTGTGTATTTATTTTATACTTTGTACTCCCTGATTTGAAAGTCTTCAGGCTCTTTCCTCACAAGTTGAGAGGTAACTTCATATCATCTATTTACTCGTTTTTGTCAAAACAGCTTCAATGACAAAATTAAATATTTGATGAATAAAGAAATAAATATCTTCTGATTTCATGTTTATTTTTTGTACCATCTTCAACCCTTAATGTTTCTGAGTAAATTTATTATGACATGCTGAACACACGTGATCCGTCCTCTTTGTTTACCTTTTTTTTACGTCTCCATGCGTCCACTGGTTACCCCGTGTTTAACGTCACATTGCAATGATTTGTGGGTAATTCCCTTAGGGTAAGTCAGCATGCTGACTTACGGAAAGGGTTCATAAAGGGCTCAAAATGTCTGCGAGAGAGCCTCAAACACTTGACGATTTGACAGTGGGACATCCCTGAACCCTCACGGACTTCGCGGGAGCGCGCCTCAAAGTCCGTGAGTCCGTAAGGGGGGACATTGGGATTTGGCCGTAGTCTTCTAAATGGGACAGCCTCGTCGCAGCCGCGGTGACGCATTCGGTCTCCAAATGGCCACAGCTGGCGCATAGAATGACGTCACACATGATTCGTTAAGATCAAAGGCAAAGCGTCACAAAGGACGTCAGTTAAGAAACACTCTATAGAACGGCATGACGTCACAAAGAGATGAAAGACAATCATATACCTATATCTACCCCAGACTTTCAGTCAACAAACTAGTGCAAGCGTCGTGGGTGTATGATAAAGGAATAACACTTTTGGGTCAAGCTTTAGTCAAGCTTCCACTCTTCTTCTCCCGTCACATTATCCCCATCACATCAAACCCCGTAAACAGCGCCAAATAGTGGTCATACTTGCTCAACACAGGATTTCAGTCTTACACTAGTTATTGAGGACTTTCAAGAGACACCAGTGGAAGGAAGAAAGATAAATATGTATAAGCTAAAAATGAAAGACCTGTGGAAGCGTCAAAGGAAGGTAAAGCATCGCAATGATGTCAAGTTGGTC